TTATTACTTCTTGTTTTCTTTTTTTATTATATTCTCACTGCAGTCACCACGCATGCCGAGATTAAAAACTCGAGAAGCACTGTATATTAATGAATCAGTATTATGTGACCTATTAAAAATAAAATAATAAATATGTAATATACTGAGAATAGCGTTTTTTTCACATCAATATTCAGTTTTACGAAATCGCCTAAAAAATTCAAGATGGTACGTGAGCTTCCATAGGTGTCTTGACTATGAAGATTAGAATATTAGGACTTTGGGTTTTGCACTGCATCACAGCATCTTCAGATGTTCATCATGAAATACGGTTTAAAACACGAATGTTTTTAAGTTAGTAATTTAAAATTTTTCCAAGTAATTTACTTAATTTAAATTATGTACATCAAAATATATAACATTTAACTTGTTTGTGATAAAAATAATGTGTTTAAAAATTTTTGCTGTCTGATGAGTTCCGAAAATCGATCGAAACGTTGCAGAACTATGGACATATTTCCGATATTATTGTCTATGCCTAATTTATGTTCACCACAACTGTTATCCCATTCCTACATGTTTTTTTTTGTTCCCTAGTATCTACTTTATTATTTGAAGAAGTGTTTTGGCTTCATTTTAATCTTAATAAGATGATATTGAGTTATATCGAGTTAAATAGATCCACTTCTGAGTAGTTTTGAGCTCTTTTGAAGCGGAGTGGTGTAATTATATTTTAAGGATAAACTTTTATCATTAAATATTTTAAATTGCATGCATACTACAATGCATTATTTATTTTTTCTCATTCTAAGAGGTATAAGGGTACTTCGTATGTACATTAATTGTCTTTCTATGGCATTACACAAATTTACTTAAAATTATTTATTTTTTTGATAATTTACCAAAATTCTACCATTTAAAATAATTAGGTATTAATTAATTAATTAATCGCTGTCTTCATGCCTCCTTGACTTTTTCTTTTTGTGAGATCTTCTACTAGGGCTTCTAGACCTAGATTTATGTCTCTTTGATCTACTTCTTGATCTCTCTCTCCTATGAGATCTTTCCCTATCCCTTGATTTTTCATGTTCCCTTCGATTTGACTCTCTCTCCTTTGTTTTTTCTCGTGAATGTGACCTTACTGGTGAAGCTTCTTTTGTAGGAGGAGGGACAGTTATAAAAGGTGGAGGACCCATATTAACAGGTGGTATAGGAGCTGGCACAACAGGGGCAGGCCCAGGGGTTAATGCTTTAATTTCTGTTGGTTGCCATGCTGGATTAGGTTCAGTACCCCATTGACAGTCCTGTGTTGGTTCATAACCCCCATAGAAAGGCTCTGGTTCTGGATTGAAGCCAAATTCTGGTTGGAATTCTTCAAAGTTTCCTGAAGGTGGCGGTACTGTTAAATCTGGAAATCCTGGTTTTCTGCTGTATTCTCTTCTATCAGCTGTCATGACTTGAATGACATTTTCTTTTGGAGGTTCAGTTTTTCCTAAAGTGCCAGGAACTCGAGTTGCAGCTCCACCAATTACGTCAATTGCTCCAGTCATTCGTCTTCCAGGAGGAGGACCTGCTTTACGAATTCCTATAACACATAATTACAACAGAAACATTGAAAGTAATTGAGGATATATATCCTTTACCTGTGTAATTGCCTGAATATTTACTGTTATCATTTAATATGGGTACAGGCCCTCTTGGCATTCCTATTGAATTTAATGGTACCAGCCCAGACCCTGATTCATTTAAACGCATTCTCTTCTGTCTTTCGCAGTAGGCTCTCCAAGTATCTTCGTTAAATCCATAATTAAAGTAATCTGTTATATCTGCTCCTGGTTTCCGCCATGGTTTATCTTCTAAAGAATCTAAATTATATTCCACTGCAGGAACTCCGTTTATCATCCCAGGTTGATCAAATTCTTCAACAGAAAACTTTCCTGTTTGAGGTGCTTGTGGAATTTTGTCTCCTTTTGTCGTTGAAGTTAATAAACCACCTCTTTTTATATTTAAAGAGGTATATGCAGGACTGGTTTTAATATCACCAATAACTACATTAACATCATCGTCGCTATCCTCATCGTAATCACCCTCTTCTTTTTCGCTGCCTTCTTCACCATTCTGCTTTTCGACTTCACCATTATCTTTAGCTGCCTCTTCTTCGGTTGATTGCTCTGTATGTTCGGCATCCGTTTGATCGGCGTTATTTTGACTATTTTCATTTTCTTGGTCCTTCTTTTCTTCTTCATCTTGTTTTTCTTGACTTTCTTCGACAGCTTTTTCTGCTGTTTCTTGAGGCAAAATTTCAGAGTGATCTCCATACAACCATTTATCATCATTTTCAGCATCATCGGCCATTTTAATATTTTTAATAAATAATACTCAACGATTACTCTATTTTAAATAATTGTAATACTATAAAAACTGTGGTTATTTTTTAGATTTTCATTATATCTTTAAATTCTTATTTTTTAGTAATCCATAACTAGAAATAAACAGATTCCCACACTGAAAGAAACATAACCTCAAATTTAAGATAATGTCTCCACTATCCTACTCCTACGAGGCTGTGTCTCAACACTAGATTCTACTTGTTACTACTACAGTTTACTCAGTTTACCATTTACACTAATCGTAAATATATACTTAGGTACCAAGGAGCCATAGGCATTCTTTGAGAAATGGAATGTAATAATTGCATATTTCTTTAATCTAACTAATCTTAAATATTTGTAACTTCAAAACTACCATAATCATTTTTAAATTGTCAAATGTATTATTACGACATTTTCTTTGTTTGGACATAAATTCCTGGTATTAAAATTTTTCAAGAACATATAAAATAGACTATGTACACTTGCTCACGTTGCGGGCGTCAAGTATATTATGCTGAAATAAAAAGTGCTGGTGGTAAAGTTTATCATTCGTTTTGTTATCAGTGTTGTAAGTAGAATTGCAAGTAAATAGTAAAATACGTAGGTTCATTTTTCAATAATTATAGCGTTTTATTAAAGATTGTTGTAAAAGACTTCTAGACTCTTGTACAGTTAACATATATAACGGAGAAATTTTTTGTAACGGCTGTTATAGGAATATTTTTAATCCCAGATTAAATCGTTACAAATTTCCGGAGCAAATAAAATCTACTAGATGCGTTAATTCAGGTATAATTTAGCTGCCAAAGTAAGATCTACTTTGCTAATTCATGTTGTTGTAGATTCTTCTGTAGGACACCTAACTTTAAAAAAATTACCTAATGAATCGCCATATTGCCGCAGCACAAAAGACAATTCCCCAAATTCACACCGTCTTTCCCCAATAAAATCTGAACATTGTTCACTAAACTCGTTCCAAGATTTTCTTAAAAGTAAAGGAAAAACTTTAAACAAGTAGACAGTCTTTATAATTCGTTTAGTTATATTAAATCAGAATTATACATTTGGGTTTAAAAAAGTTTGAGACAACAAAATCACAAGAGTAATAGTACAAAAAGGTTAGTACAAATTATTTTATTAAAATAATCTGTAGATTAAAATACATATAAAAAATACCCTATGGTGGAAGAACTGTGCAACAAAAAATGATTTCAAATTAATATTGCATATTAATCCACTATTAAGTAACTAACATTGTCATAGGATTTCATATACACCTGTACTATATTTTGGCCGCGGCTTCGCTTGCGTTGATGTTCTAAGTATGTGTCAAAAGTCATGGATGACTACATAAAGCTAATTTTTGTATTCCTCGGGAACACCATTTTTTTTCTGGATAAAAGGTACCATACGTCCTTTTCTATACCACTGACAATGTGTCTAAAAAATTTCATGATGATTGATGGAATAGTTAAGGCGTGAAATCGACCACATAAAACTAATTGTTATATCCGTCGGATCAGTATTTTTTTCTGGATAAAACGTACCCTATGTAATACTTTTCTGTACCCCTGGCAACGTATATACAAAATTTCATGACGATCGATTGAATAGTTACGGCGTAAAATCGACCACATTGAACTAATTTTTCTATCCCTCTGGATCAGTCTATTTTTCTAGATAAAAGGTAAAGTATGTCCCTTTCTGTGCCTCTTACAATGTGTACAAAATTTCGAAATGATCGATTGAGTAGTTAAGGGAACTTTTTTTTCCTAGATAAAAGGTGGTGTTATAGGCGAATGATGAGGATACCGTGGATAGAGAAGGTTAGAAATGAAGAGGTATTAGAAAGAATAGGAGAACGGAAGACTCTATGGAAGTCAATCAGAAATAGGCGAGATAGGTTAATAGGACACCTTCTCAGGCATAAAGGTCTAAGCAGAGACATATTAGACGCAGAAACGGGAGTTAGAAGGGGTAGAAGTAGACCTAGATTAGATTAGTGTTCTGAAATAGTTAAGGATGTGGGTTGTTCTAGTTCTAAGGAAATACGAAGATTAGCTTAGGATACGAAAGAGTGGAGGTACGTGTCTAACCAGTCTTAGGACTGACGATCTTATGATGATGAAAAGGTACCCTATGTGCTTTTCTGTACCCCTGACAAATTTCATGACGATCAATTGAATAGTTCCGGCGTGAAATCGACCACATTGAACTAATTTTTTTATCCTTCTGGATCAGTCACTTTTTCTAAATAAAAGGCAAACTTTGTCCCTTTCTGTGCCCATGACAATGTGTCTACAAAATTTCATAATCATCGATTGAGTAGTTAAGGCGAAAAATCGACCACATAAAACTAATTTTTCCATCATCAGAAACAGTTTTTTTTTTCTAAATAATAGGTGCTTTACTGAAAATGTGTGTACAAAATTTCATAATGATCGGTTGAGTAGTTAAGGCGTAAAAAGCCTACCTACAAACAAATGAACAAACAAACAAACCAATCACTATCGCATTTACAATACTAGTTAGGATATTNTTTTTTTGTATACTCTGGTTATGAATAAATGAAATGAAATAAATGAAATGAAATGAAAATTTCATAATGATCGGTTGAGTAGTAGTTAAAGCCTACCTACAAACAAATAAACAAACAAACAAACCAATCACTATCGCATTTACAATACTAGTTAGGATATTAAAAGCTACATTTTTTTCTTAAAAAGTGCCAGATAAACGCAGGAACAATAGCGCAAGTTTAAGTCTAATACACATAAATTTTTAATTTCATATAGGTAGTTATTTTTTTTTAATATTGAGATTTTAAGTATAGTAGTTATTATTATTAGTACATTAAGATGTAACTTAATGAAGACTCTAAGTTTATATATTTTGAGCAAATACCTGAATTAAGTGTGGTATTGTACTATTAAGACAACAATCAAAGTTTTTGCATGCATAAAGTAATTCTAGAATATTTTTTACATTCATTTCGTTGAAGTATTTAGAAGAAGAAGTTTAATTTCAATACATTAAAGTGAATTAAATTTTGAATTAATTTCAACTACTACAGATAACCTCAAAATAATGAGAAAAAATTGTTACTAGTGTCACGCCCTCGCCGGGAATTGAATCCAGGTCCCTGGCTTTACGTCTTATAAACCACGTACCCTTCCCCCCATGTGATTTGCAATAGTTATATCGAAAAAAAATATTCGAATTTAATTTAACATTTTAAATTTGATCATCCTTTCACACTTTAAACACGATCTTTCTTCATTTTTAGAACCAGTAGTGAATCATGTAGGAACTCTTTAACACACCACTGATGACCCTGGATTATGTCACCATCTTCAGATGTGTCTAATAAAGGGTGGATATGTAAACTGTGTTGTTCAAAATTTCGCCGTAGTAGCAAAGTTAAACAAATGAATAAAGGAAAAGCGAAGAACGATCCAAACATTTTGTTCCAAAGTACAATTTCCAGCAAATCGGTAAATGACTTAAACCCGTTTAGCGTATCAGATAATAGAGTTAATTCAGACTATTCAAAGAAGGCACAAAAAGCTAAAACATTTTCCCTCTTCTGTCCAAAATATTATAACTGCGTTGACGTCAGAAACACGTATGGTGGTTCGGCTCTAGAAGGTGGAACTAGTATTGACAAAAAATTGTGTGGAAGTTTGGGTTGGTTTTTGTTTCCAAACAAGTCTCAAATTCAGAACGAAGTCCAATCGAAGAGGACCTCACCTATTACAAACAACACTTGTGACACTGTTATATCCAAAAATACGTCAGAAATCCATCAAAATTGGGAAACACATAAAAATCCATTTGGCATAGAATGTAGAGAAGGGTCTTTAATTTCTAAAGGTCCAAATGATTTACCAGTAAGTGTTAGAGAACAATTTAATGACGATCGCGTTATGAAATGTGGATTTCCATGCAAATTTTCGCCTGAAACTACTAAAATAAGTTTTCCACAGCATACAATTCCAACAAAAGATGCATGTTTGAGTAATTTTAGTACAAATTGTGGCCTGAATTCACTTCCTGCTGCAAGAGAAATTGTAGGTGATCCAAAAGGACAAATAAACGGATTTCATCCATTTAATAGATCTCCTACACTAAAACAGGGGCTTAACAATACAAATATGAGAGGAACGACGAAATTATATGACTATCAGGAATTAGACATGAACAATTGTATGAATGGAGATGCTAATATAAACGGAGATAAACAGATAAAAAATGAATATGGTGAAAATGGTACAAATCCAGACACAAAAGTTGGAGATATCGTTTTCAAAGAACGTGTGCCTGAAGATCTCAAAAACAAAGATATTTTCAATTATCCAGCTGATGATACTTGTGAATTTTCTCAAGTGTTTGAAAACGATGGAAGTGCCTTTGGTCGTTTTGCGTTGTTTTCGAAACTTTGTGACAAGTACAAAACCATAAATAGGCGCTTTACTTTAAAAAGGTGAGTGATAATAAAATTACTTATGGTATATGTATATCCAATTCGTTAAAATTATTCTTATAGTTAAATTACTTGTAGTTATTGTTTTATAAGTAGATAAATCAATATGTGGTCTAAATCGGTTATAACGAACACGAATGTTGTTTATTATAGCCGGGTCATTGTTATAGGCGATTTTTATTTTTTTAGGTAATTAAAAAAAATCGTC